AGAACAATTAATAATAACAATGCTATCAAGCACAGTCTAGAAATTGACAAACTGTGATAACTATTAATTTTTCACCTGTAATCATATCAACAAGATTGATATTATATGACAAAGTCTCATGTTATATAACAAATCAGAAAATTATATACAGCATATATCTCCTCAGTAGAGGAATTTTACTTTCAGGGTAGTAAAAGGGGATAAGAGGAAAAATAGAGAAATAAAAGAAAAGAAAGATTGGAAGCAAAGCTGAAGAACAAAAGATTATTCAAGATTCAGGATACTGAAGAAGAAGACAGGAGGGAAAAAAAGAATAATAATACTAATACTAATAATAATACTATTACTACTACTAATAATAAAGAAAACAAAAATACCCTAAAAACGATGTTCACATTCATAAAAATACAAAAACGATCAAGAAAAAAATACCCAGTGGACAAAAATATTCCCTGTGATTTCAAGCCTGTGGTTAACTTTGCTACCAGTTTTGTGGAAGTATTTAATTCAAGGTATTATCCTTCTGTCACTGGTAGAAAAGAGAAGCCATTACAGCCCTGATCTGTGCTAAATAATCCCAGCAACTCTGTGGTAGGATTACAGTGGAAGGACAATTCAGGTGTTTCAACTCCATAAAAGTGCTGGCTGATCCTGGCTTTCAGTTATGTGATTGGGGTCTAAGTTATTTAGCCTACAACATTTGGTTGTCTCTTTCTAGGATATCTACAGCTTCCTGACTGTGGACTTCTCCCACAATTTTCTCTCATCCAGTCACTGTGGGATTTCAAAAAGCAAGGCCTGAGATGAAGGCAAACTATGGCTGCTCTGAGACCTGAGTTCAGTTGCCCCTCGCTAAAATAGCATCAGACCAAACACCCTTTCAAGGGAAAAGACAGTTATTTGGCCTGGAGTCACTCATCTGCTTTTGTAGTGCACAGTGTCTACTGCTAAATTCTACTTTTTTGTTTCTCCGCAAAGACCTCTAGACTCACCTGCTCTTACTATGTCTCTTTACATTTGATCCTCCCCTCTCACATCATGAGCTGGAGCCAGGAGATAGCACAGTTATTTCTCCTCATTTCCTGCATTCAAGCCTGCATCTATGCTTTCTCTGTGGGCTCCAATTTCCCTTCAAATCTTTTTTGAGTTTCCAGCGATTCACATCCACCCCCCCAACATCCCCCCCCCAAGTCGTCATTTTCCAGGATCTGGATTCTGGATCTTGAAGAGGTTGATTTGTTGCTGCTTACTGCTTTGCCATCTTCCTGGAAGTCCAATTAAGTATTATTTTCATGAGAGGTCATGGCCTCTTCCTAGATAGTCTGAAATGCCTTGGTGAAGTAAAAAGTTCCTTCTCAATAAAATGCTATGCTGTGGTTTTGAATCCCTGTGATGATCAGTCTTGAACCATGACCAGGACTTTCTAAATAAAGATTGTAGATAGTTTAGGCTTAGTGTGTAACGTATAGTTTTTCTTAATCTTCTCTACCTTAGTGACTTGTCAGAGACTTGTTAAGATGGATGATATGTGGTGAGGCTTCAGAGTCTTTTGTGCAAATAGAGGAGGGGCAGGTTGTATCTGTATTAGCCAGATAGATTTTGAAAGAACATTATTAATTATAATCTGACAGTACTGTATCATTTTAAACACATACACAGCTGGTCCATTTGAACTGCAGGTATGGTGGCAAATATTTCTGCTTTTAAAAATTTGGGCTGACAGAAATAATATCTGATGGCACAAAATAATAGGTCATGTAGCATTTTTCTGTATATGCCACTCTGACACTCTTCTTTGTCCTTTGGCTTGGCATTCTTCCAGCTAGTTTGTAAGCTTTTTCAAGGTAGGAACTAAGTATTGTTTACACTGTGTACAACTTAAATACTGATGGAAAGTAAGCTCTCAGTTTTAAACATATCTTCACAAACAAAACCAAAAGGCTAAAAGTAACAGTACAATTAGCAGCACATTCCCAAGAATAAGTCCAGATGAACTGTGAATAATTTATTCTTCACACTTAAAATCTCTTGCCAGGTGGGGGTAGCCTATGTCTCTTAGATCAGGACTGGAAGGCTGAGGCAAATGGAAAAAAAGTTCAAACCCAGCCTGGGCAATTTAGCAGCTTAGTGAGACTATCTCTGAATAAAAAATAAAAACTGGGCATGTAACTCAGTGAAAAGGCCTTGGATTCAATTCTTAGCACTACAAGTGAATATGACTAAATAAATAAAATGTTCACATAATTTTGTACATCAACTAGTAGAACTATTAAGGAGAAAATAAAGACAACACATTTTTAGGACTCTCCTTGGAAAATATTGGGACAATTGTATACCTCTTTCACAGATTTTATTTAAGCTACTTTTCTTATTGGGACAAAACAACTAATAGCCACAAATAAGAAGTGCCATTCCAAGGTATGAATTTTATACTCTTTTCAAGAATTTCTCTGGTATTAAACATCAGTAGACCACTTTGGTACTTTTGAATCTTTCTCTCATTCTTTTTATCACCACATCTCTCCTTTTCTAGTGTTCCCTGCCATTCCCAAATAAACGACTTTTATCTTTGCTTTAAGGGTGCTTCTGGGAAAAGCTGAAGTAAAACAGACTTACTTGTAAATAAAAATAAGATAGAAAGCATGACAAGGATAAAATAAACTATATTGACAAGAAGCAAACTTTTCTGAGAAAATCTTCAGCATACTCACAAAATGAGCACTGCTTAGAATAGTATTCTTGATGACAATAATAAGGCAATGTTTCTGTCTCATGGTCATGAAGCCTTCTGACTCTGAGAACAGCTTTAGGGAGGGAAAATAATTACTATTTTGTCCAGCAGCTGAGCATTTGAAAGCAAAGCTGCCATCTCATTATTAGGATAGGATTCTTTATAAATTAGAAATAGGACTATGTTGTCATTGTTCACGTGACTACCATTTTTCAGGCCAATTGTGTTCCACTTTTGTCACGTTAGTTTTACTCATTAGAAAGCTGCTGTTCATTAGCTACTTTGTCACAGTTTTAGGTGACACACTGCTCACAATCTATGTCTCTCCACATATTTGGTGTCACATATTTTCCTTATAAATTTACCTCCTAGAATAAAATTTGTCATGCATGATGCCTGTGGAGATGAGCAGCTTTTCCTTTGTTTTCTCCTGAGGAAAGAAAATAAATAATAAAGGAAAGATGATTTGTGGACACATGAAATGCTTAAGCTAGGCAGTTCATTAATGGAGATGGGAAGTTTTGAACCTGAGGCTGATGGGTAATGTTAGTCCATTCATTTAGCTGTCCTTGGGCGCAACCAGCTGTCACGTCTCCTGAGCACCTTCCGTACAATTCTGGCAAGCAAAGGTGCACACTTTTTTTTCCCCCCTTTCTTGCTTCTTCTACCACTCCTTAGTTATACAATAAACTAGAAGAATGGAGTTCCAGGAAAGTGAGAGTTAACACAGAATTAAATGTACTGAGCGATTCAGGCCATGCTTAGACAACTGAAAATAAGCAGATTGTGCCATGTTGGTCTAGTTATTTTAGTTTCTTTGACAGCTTGTTCAGAGCACTGTAGTCTAGCTGTGATTAATTGTTTGGCTATCACTTGCTAATATGGCAGTGCAAAAAATTCAGCTAAGCTGCAATAGATTATGCAGGTCATATAGATAGAGCAATAACGGGCTTATAGACTCAAGATGAAAAAAAAATGCTGTATAATTAAGTGGGGACTAATCAGGGCAGGTCACCAATGTGGAAAATTCAGCTTTTCTCAACACCAACCACCCCCTCTTCTCTCTCCTCCCCAGAAATTGTCCTTTCGCACATATCTAAGTATGTGCTATCTTTGGTAGATATCAAAGCTGTCTGTTTATATATGGTAGACAATATAGCTAAGTGCTAACCGAGAAGCAGCCATTTCCTCTACCTAATTTTGTTAAGACAATATCATTCTGACTTTGAGAAAAGAGTAGATCGAAAGAATTATCAGTCTGTAAGAGTAGAGGTCATTATAGAGTTGAATATAGGAGGACTATGATTTATTAATAGTAAACACCAAAAGCACAGTTAGTGCTAAACTAAAAAGCCCCCTTCATGCCATTATTGAACCTTTGCAATACATTTTTTAGTTTTAAATTGCATTATAAATTAATTTTATTGGTACATTTTAGGTATGCAATATAATGACATTCATCACTGGAAATTTGTACCTTTACATAATATACCGTGGTTCTTATTTTTTTCCATTCTCCTACCCTTCCTTCAACTTATTCACAATAATTTTGAGGTAAGCACCATAATTTTACTTACTTTAAAAATGAAGGATTTAATGCAAAATAATTACTCACACAGTAAATGGTAGAAATGAACTTTTTAAAGTACACAGGGAAGCTGTGTATGATGGCACATGACTAATCCAGGCATTTGGGAAGCTGAGGTAGGAAGATTGTAAGGGCAATTTAGGGAGACCCTGTCTCAAATCAGAACAGAGAGCTTGGCATGGTGGCACATGCCTCTTATCCCAGCACTTGGGAGGCTGAGGCAGGAGTAATGTCAAGAATTCGAGGTAGCCTGGACTACCTAGCTAGACTGTCTCAAACAAGCAAACCCCCAAAACAACATTATGGAATAGAATATGAAAATAAAATAGACAGTGGGTTTCAAAAGTTTAGTATAAAATAACGTAAGCTATCTCATTAATACCTGTTTATATTGATTTAATTTCATGTACTCATTCAAATAAATTTTTAATTTCTCTTGTTTAGTTTTTTAACGTGGCTATTAAAAATGTATAGTTGTATATGAGACTTGCATTAAAAGAAGAATTGAGCTTTTTACTGTGATATACTTATTCTAGAACTAAAAGTCTCCAAAGAATGCCAAAACCGGTAGCCAGGAAATGTTGGCTGATGAATATCTCCTCAGAATGTGAGTGAGAACAATCTAGAACTCTGTAGTAGCTCATTGTGAAGCTACAAAGATGTGAGGTTCAGTAACTCCAGACCTTTCAGTTTTACCGAAGATGAAATTTTCCAGAATCCCAAAGAAGATGAATAATGGATCAGGAATGGCTTGAACCTGTGTCAAAGTCAGATATTTGATATTATTTATCAACTTAGTTAGAAATCCTATCTTCAGAAGAACTCCTCCATGGAGGTAAATTCTGTGTTCACCTCAATGCTGGAGAGTTTCTGAGTTGCAGACTAACTTCTAGTGGGGCAAGGACAGTGAGGAGCAGGACTACACACCCACACTATGTGTACTCAATGTGACACAATGAGCATCTTTTTAAAAATGCCTTATAGATTTTATTTTTTATTAGTTATATTGGTACATTTAATGTCTACAGTCTAATGACATTCATTGTTGGAAACTTGTACCTTCACATTGGTTCTTATTTTCCCCCATTCCCTTTCCCTCCTTTCAACCCCTCCCTCCCTATCTGCAAAGACTTTGTTTCCATTGTGTTTCATTTTCTCACATTAATTCCGTTACATTTCATGAAACTTTTCTTGCTTTTATTGAGTTTATTGGTACATTTTAGGTATACAGTACAATTACATTCATTATTGGGATCTTGTACCTTTACATGACAGGGCTGCTTCTCATTTTTTTCCCCTTGTCCCTGACCTCCCTTCACCCCCTCCTCCCCTCCCCATTTACAAACACTTTATTTCCATTTTTTCATTTTGTCTTATTTTTTCCTTTCCCTGATTACCTTTCCCCTACCCTTTCCATTTTCCCTACACCTTTAGCCCTTTTCTAAACTTTGAAGTCTCAACTTTCATTAATTCACCCCTGTTCATGAAAACAGAAGTTTTGTTTTACTATGCAATACCAGAAACTATAGAAGAGGTAGAAAAGAACATGATTAGTAAGTGAAAGATCGCTTAAAAATTAGTAGAAATGAGATAATTCTTATAAGTCATTAAATGGGAAAAAATAGAGGGTAGTTTTTGTATTATTATTTTATAGGTAATTTGTAGAAGAAGAAAAGTTTGAGAAATGTTACTTGTTCTTTTTCTCTCTTCAAATATATAACTGAAAATCCTACAATAAAAAATTCCCACTGATCCTGTTTTAATCCCATTTCCCAAACATTTAATCATAGAACCTATTTTCTTCAAACAGTGGCTACTAATTTCTATCGAGTGGACCATAAATCCTTATTTGGGGGAAGAAGCTTCTACGGATAAATCGCTTCATTTTAGAAATAAAGAAAAAGTAATTTACTGTAGATATAGATATACACAAATATAAACACAAATGTTTACAAGCCCTTACCACATACCAGTCACTACTCTAGGCCCTTGGTAGTGATAGATCCTGGCCCTCAAGATGGATGAGCCCTGCGGTAAGCTGGCTTCCTGAACCAGTACTCTGAGGAGAGCAACCTCATTGATAGTCGGGAGACCCAAGTCTGTGACTTTCAGAGTCTTTCCAAAAAAAAAAAAAAAAAA